GCACTAATTCACCCCCCCCCCCCCCCTCCTTAGTGCCGCTCCGATCCTAACAAGCTTGGGTTCATCTTAATCATCGCGCGACCATCAGGTCGTCAGGTTGTGTCCCATCCTGCTTGAAGCGGAGGATTTCCTCCATCCAGTTTGGCGAGAACTCGGTTCCGGCAATGTCGTGGGTTGGTACTGTCGGGGCCATGATGGATTCAGTTGCTAAGACTCCCCCCGGGTTGTGAGCGGAATCTAATCTGGCCAAGGCATCGGCTTGCGCACTCTATGCACGAGGTATCCTTGTGATCGAGAGGTGGTTGAAGCGACGGGTGAGCCGTCTTGCTTCCACCAAGTATAGCGCCATGGTTGGGTCTCGGGCTTCATAGCTCCTGTTAACATGTCCCGCCACTAGCTGGGAGTCGCTGAAGGCCTCGAGGTCGCCCACATGCATCTCTAGGGTGAGGCGCAGTTCGTGGAGTAACGCCTCATATTCGGCTTCGTTGTTGGTGGCCCTAAACTATAACCAAAGTGACCATTCATAGGTTTCTCCGGTCGGGCTCCTAAGGATGAGTCCGGCCCCTGCTCCCTCGATGATTGCCGAGCCGTCCACATACAGGGTCCATGTGCACTCACTATTTCCCTGTCCAACAGCATGATCTTCGAGGGTTAGTTCGGAGATGAAGTCGGCCAATACTTAGGCTTTAATGGCTGTTCTGGGGGCATATTGGATGTCGACCTTGCCGAGCTCGACTGACCAACGCAGCATTCGACCTGATGTATCAAACTTCGAGAGGATATGCCATAGGGGTTAGTCGGTTATCACCTTAATCGTGTGGGCTTGGAAGTACGATCGTAACTTTTGGGCCGTCTTCATCAGTGCGAGGATCAGCTTCTCGATCAGGGAATATCAAACCTTGGGTCCAATGAGAACGTGGCTGACATAATAGATAGGTTGATGTATTGATGGTACCTCTCAGGTTAACATCGAGCTGACCGCTTATGTGGAGGCTATAAGGTAAAGGCTAAGGACCTCGCTCGGCTCAGGTGAGGCGAGTCGAGGCAATCGAGCAAGATATGCCTTTGGCTTTTTAAATGCTTCCTCGCATTCCAAGGTCCACACGAAGCTATCAGTCAGCCAAAGAGCTCGGAAGAAGGGGAGGCACTTGTTGCCTGAACGTGACACAAATCTAATAAGCGCTGCCAGTTTTCCAGTGAGGCACTACACTTCCTTGATCGAGCGAGGAAGCTGCATCTGTGTTATGGCCCAAATATTTTCTAGGTTGGCATCTATTCCTCTCTGGTGGATGACGAACTGGAGGAACTTCTCCGAACGAACCTCGAAGACACACTTCGAATGATTCAAGTGCATGTTAAACCGCATGAGGATCCGGAATGTCTCCGCTAGATTGGCTAGATGTGTGCTTATCGACTTGCTTTTTACAATCATGTCATCTATGTACACCTCCATGTTCCTCCCAAGTTGTTGTTTGAATAGTTCATTGACCATTCTTTGGTACGTTGCCCCAATGTTTTTTAGGCCGAAAGGCATCACTTTGTAACAATACACTCCCCTGTCGGTAATGAAGGCAGAGTGCTCTTGGTCTTGCGGTGCCATCCAGATCTGGTTATAGGCCGAGAACGCATCCATGAATGTAAGAAGTTCATAGCCTATGGTGGCATCTACTAGCTGATCTATCCTTAGGAGTGGATAGCAATCTTTGGGGCATGCTTGGTTGAGATCAGTGTAGTCAACACACATCCTCCAGCTTCCACTATATTTCTTAATAAGGATTACATTTGACAACCACCGGGGGTATTTCACCTCGGTTATGAATCCGACCTCTCTAAGGCGGTCGACCTCATCGCTGATTGCCATTTGTTAGTTGGGGGCGAACTTCCTTGGCTTCTGTTTTACCGGTCGAGCCTCGGGGTGGATATTGAGGTGGTGCTGGTTCACTCCCAGGCCGATTCTAGGCATATCTTTTGAGGACCATGTGAACACATTAGCATTTCTCTTTAGGAAATCGATGAGCTGGAGTTGGTTTGCTTTTGGGAGTGTTGTCTTGAATTTCATGGTATGTCAGGCAGTCCCTCTTAAAGGGTACCTCGGCGAGTTGTTCAGGTGGCTCTAGGTGTGTCGGTGTCCTAGCTTCCTCACGGGGATCCAGGGCTTCCTAGGGCCGCAATTTCTATGAAAGAGTGACCACTATAAGGTAGCACCAACTTGATTCTCTAGGATCACTTTGGGATACCCCGACCCCTACTGAAGTTAGAAATTTGATGGCCCGGTGGTAAGTGGAAACCACCGCTTTCAGTTTGTTGAGTGTCGGGTGGTTGAGGATGACATTGTAGGCCGAGGGAAGGTCGACTACCATGAAGGTAGTCATCGTCTTCTTGGCTCTCGGTTCTTCCCCGATGGTAATGAGGAGGATGGTGGTCCCGAGTGGGGAGATGGAATCCCCCATGAATCCAGTGAGCGCCAATGCCATGGGGGTGAGGTCCTCATTAGTTAGGCCGAGCTTCTTGAAGGCATCGAGGTACAACATGTCGGTAGAGCTCCCGATGTCAACCATGACTCTCATCACCCGAGCATTGGCGATCCAGATGGAGATCACTAAAGCGTCATCGTCGTGGGAGCATTCGACCTCTTCAGTTCCGAAGGTGATTTTAGGCTCGAACTCGGGTCTGGGGCACTTCTCCACCATGCTACAAGCGTAGGCCTTCCTCACTGTCAAGCTACTACCGTCGGTAGTCGATCCGCTAGTGATGACATTGATTTGTTTCTCGACGGGACCCCTAGGATGCGAAGATGGTTCTCTTGGTTCCTTGAGGTAGCACCTGAGGTGACCTCTCTGGATCAACTCTTCAATCTGATTTCGAAGGTCATGGTAGTCTTCCGTGTCATGCCCGTATTCCCAATGGAACCTGTAATATTTAGATCAATCCTTGTGAGTAGTCTTCAAGGGATTGGGTTGTCACAAGAGGCCTTTCTCCCTAATCTAGAGAAAGATCTCAGTACGAGAAGTTGTTCAGAGGCAGAGGCAGAGGCAGGGGCCTCAGGAGTAGCTACTCGGGTCAATCGAGCCTCCTGCGGTGTCAGGTCGGTTGGGGGAGCTACTAATTGCACCATCTGTGGGATGAGCCAGACGATCATTTGTATCATTCCCGCCAAGGTCTGTACTTGCCTAGCCAGACCGAGGAATGCCTCGGGCGAAATGACCGAGGGTCCAGCAGCGTATCCGGGGGGAGAGAGTCCTAGATCATTGAACAAACGCTAGTAGCAATCCCACGTCGGAGCTAGAATGCCCCCATTCCTGAGGATGGGGAGGGGCTAATCACCGAGTCCAAAAGGGGGGTGGTCAGCTAGTAATTCTCCCTCGGGAGGAACCCCTGCGGGGTGCTCCTATAACATCAGCCCTCCTTCTAGCGTCAAAAATGTTAGTGAACTAATGCGCCGTGATCGATGAGTCAGCACGACTTGGTCCACGTATCAATGTCGGGAGTTCTTGATCGAGAAGGAGGAAGTGCTGAGGGCAACTATGTTAGGATGTCGGAATGCTGATATTGCCTGTGGGAGGCGTCTCTCAATCGAGACTGAGCTAACGCCGTCTATGGGGAGGGGTCTCTTGGTCGGGACGCTGATACCATCGGTGGGAAGACTTCTCTCGGTTAGGACGCTGACACCGTCTTCTGGAGGTGGCCGAGCTCCTGCACAAAAGGCCCTCGTCGGGAGGTTCCCGACTTTGGCCCCTCGAATCTTAAGTTAGTAGTTGTCTTTTTCTCTTTTTTCCGTCCCTTGGCTAGATGCTTGTCACGGGCTTTTATACTACTGCGTGAGGATCGGTCATACATGGATTTAGCATGATGACTGATCCTCGAGTGGCGAGATAGTACCTACGTGTGGCCATTGCCTGGAACGCACAGAACGATATCATACGTTGCCATCCCGAGATGGGACTTACCGAGGGGCACCTCTGGTACGGACCTCGGCTCGACGCGAGAGGTACCACCTCGTGTTGATTTAGTAGGGGTGTGATATGACACGGGTTATGATGTGGCTGGAGTCCAAAATATGCTTTATCACATGATAAAAAAGAAAAATATGGTGAATGGTCATGTAGAACAAGAACAGACAGCAACTTCAAACTTATTTGCAGGACAGAGATTAATGTGTGCTTTTTAGAGGTCCGGAATTGTGCTGTATTAATTAAAGGACAATTTGTAAACTCACTTGTCTAAATAATATTAAAATAGCGGCAGAAACTGTACTTTAGCAGTAAACAAGATAGCAAAATCTATCAATCAACATACCGTTCTAACAGTTTTGGATATTTCCATGAATAGGTGAGAGCATAAGAAACTAAATTAAACTGACAAATAAATTCATTTTGTTGAACTGGAGCACACAATCTATAGCCATAATCTAACAGTGGTTTCTCGACATCTATCATTTGTTAGGAAAAACAGATCAAATATATATATAGATACAGATAATTAATTATCAGAATTTTCACCCCCACTAATATATTAGGAGCACTATCTTAAGTATAAACAATTAAATCACAATCAAGCATATAAGAATACTAATAATTTTTATACATTAAAAATTCCTTCAATATGAAGGATAAAAACTACTCGACTTCTCTTGGTCCAAATCAAAATCTTCATTCTGAAAACATTGTTCACAGTAACAAAGATCTACAAACGAATTTGTTTCACAACAAATTTAACACCCACAACTTAAATACCCATATAGAAATCAAGAGGGTAATTACTGTTAAATATCAGAAAATATTTATCACATTCAAACATTATCTCTACCATTCAAATTAAAGAAACACTGGTCTAAAACATGTTTACCAAATTTCAGCCAAATTGAACTACAACTGACGGTCTAAATGTCGAATGAGATGAAACTGTTCAAAGCAGAAAAATAACATCATAGTCTTCATTGAAGTAATAAAAGAGATACTTAAAAAAACCTCCAAATCTAATCTTCACCATTTAGAATGCACAACTGGAAGCCTTATACCTGTTGATAAAATTTCAACCAAATCCAATGGTTGAATATTGCCCAACAAGAAGTCAAAGTAAGTTGATCGATGACAGAACAATCAGTGAATAGCTACTATTCAAGAAGCCAAAACTATGTGAAGAAGACCTCCAAACTAGCCAAGACTATGTGAAGAAGACCTCCAAACTAGACCTCCACCGTTAACTAAGCCTAGAATATCTCCACCAAAAAATCAGCACGATTCGACAAAAATTTCACTGTCCAATCTTCGAAGAAGAATAGCTGGATGAATTTTAATAAAACCCAAAAATTTTTCTTTCTGTAGTGGCTATTGTCGTATGACGGGTGTCTCAAAAGACAACTCTAATGGGTTTAAATACATGGGCCAAAATACTTATTATTAAGCTTTTTCCACGTTTCAGTGACCTAACCCAACATCATTTACCCCCTTCTCTCTCTATCTTCCAAGTTTCTGAATCAGCAAGCAATCCAAGATTTCAAAGAGCATTACAAGTGTTAGTGATTGACTAACACTTGTAATAGCTGAAGCTGACTATATTAGGATGTTGGGATGCTGATGCTGCCTATGGGAGGAATCTCTCGGTCGGGATTGAGCTAACGTCGTCTGTGGGGAGGGGGTCTCTTGGTCAGGATGCTGACACCGTTGGTCGGAAGTGTTGAATCTCGGATTTTGATGATGAAATAAATTGATAGTATTTATGATTTAATCTGTGTTTTAAGTGACGCAGGATGCTTTGATCAGGGTGAGACAATTAAAGCAGGAAGAATCATGTTGCGCCAGAGAAAAACATATCAGAAGATTGGACGTCGAGCCGAAAGATCGGTTGACATATCGGCAGAAGGCTTCGGGCTATGAGTTCAGGCATCAAGCCAAGAAGAGCGAAAATTGCACCAAGTAAATCAGAGTTACAGAGGTCAACTGGCCGATTAGGCAATAGGCCGCAAGAGAGGACGATGCATCGAAGATTCAAACGAAGTACCGATAAACCAATGGCATGCCAGACAATACTTGATTTGCTTTATAATAATTGTCTAGATCAAAGTAGGTTTTATGTATCCAAGATTAACTATGATAGCAAGGCATAAAGCAAAATGAAGTCCCAGAGTTAAGAACGTAATTTTTTTGGGAGTTCGAGAGTTCGTCAGAAGTCCGGACGTTCATCGGATGTTCTACCGGAATTGACTGAGAAGTCTAGGAGCTTGCTAAAGAAGCTCATTAGAACTCACCAAGAAGATCGTCGTGAAGTCTAGGAGTTTGCTAGGAGTCCATTGGAACATTGTTGAGAGCTCGTCGGAAGTTTGCCAGAAGATCGTCGGAAGCTCGCCGGAAGAAACATAGACTTACGGACTTGTTTAGCTTAGTAAATGTCTTAAATTTTATATTTAGCACATAATTGGGATTGAAATTGATCCAACCCAATTAGAGGCCAGTTGGGCCCATGTATGGATTGTGTTGGGCCCAATGAAAGGCCCAAATAGTGACCCAATAGGTAGAACCATCGTGGCACAGTCTCCGAGATTGTGTCAGCCAGTGGTACCGCTAGTCTGGGCAGTGGTATCACCTAATGGTAGTGTTAGGTGGTGGTACCACCCACACAGTCTCCAAGGAGATGGTACTGCCAAACTAGATGGTGGTACCGCCCAGTGTCAGTGCTGTAGGCGGTGGTACTGCCAGGACCCGGGAAACCCCGGATGAGACATTTGTAAGCTCCAAGTTTGAATCAACTTGAGGCCTATAAATACCCCTTTCCTCCCTAGTTAACATACATAAGAATTAAGAGTGAAAAAGAAAGAAACGTTGTTGTAATCTTGTGTGAATTCCTGTCAAAAATCTAAGTATT